TTATGCATCCCGTAGTATACACTTTAAAAATAAAATTTAAAAAACAAATGTACTATGTTCTACTTCAGAAACTGACCAAGGTGTGGGTCACACATAGAATTCTGCATGCATTTTATTAACTAACTTTACATGTATTACTACCCATTTTGGAGGATGACACTATCTACGAACACAGACGATCTAATATCTAGCACCTTATCTCCAAGAACACATATTTTATATACAGTTATAGCTTACATTTAGGAGAATTACTACAGAAAGAAACACACCACTGAAACAGACAAAAACACCAAACTTTTAACATTAAAGTTGTAACACAGATGAAGAAGGGGGGAAATCCACTCAACTTTGAAGCACCAAACTAAAACCAATCTTGTCTTTGTCTATATTTTAGAACAAGAGAGATCCAGTAATGAATCCTCAGACATAGCAAACCTCTTGTGAGTGTACAAGTTACTGTGGTTTCCCCTGGGTGTGTGTACTTTGAGATATGAGAGCTTTGGGAGGCAGTGATGGGAACCTTCGACTCCTATTGGCAGCCTTCATTTACCTTGAGAATTCCTATTCTACTTACCAAAGAGCAGTGAACTTGCCAGTGACCTAGTAATCAGTGGCCAAGTGCTGTGGATTTTAGCTTTCCTATTTCTTCGTTCAGCCAGCCTTGTTGCTTTTAGCAAGACTGCTGTAAGCAAGCTGGGCATTTGCCATAGAGGAAGAGATTGTTTGCAAATAACTGGAAAGAATATGACAAGGGTTTCTCCTCTTTTTGAGTTTGAGGATATGGTCTGCTGTTTGCAGCTCACTGCTTCTGTCTCCTCATGCCTAAGCTTGGTGGGGCTTCAAGGGGGCCAAGAACACCTGTCTGGCCCATAGAAAATGAGAGAGACAGAGACATGGAAGGAGAGGGTTAACTGACCAGATTTTTCTCTCCTTATCTCGGTAACTGGCTCACAGCCAAGTGTTCCTCTAATCTTTTGTCTGTTCTAGAAGGAAAAGACATTTTGCTTAGAGAAGCCTCTCCTGACAGCATGGGGTTGGTCTTAAAGAGGAATACAACAAAAAAGACATTATGAGAGGAAAACACTTCTTTGGCTCTTTTTTCTCAAAATATGGGAAAGGGCAGTTATGAGAGAAAAATACAGTCCAGTAGTTTCAATTGTTACTCTCTTTGTTTCATCCCAAGAACCTCTGAGGGTTTTATCTTGGAGAGGTCGAATTACCAGATGATGCATAATTTTTCTCTTCCAAATGGTGTATTTTGGACATTTTAAAGAGCATTTTGGCAAAGTCTAAGAAAGAAAGCCTAGTTTAACCTTGTAAATTATTCTTCAGGTAGTACGAAAAAATCTTCTGAAGTAACTTTACCTAGATTAATTGGCTAATTATGTATAAAATAAGGCAGTTAGGCACCTTACAATTTTATAGGTAAAAGATTTTTTTGTGTTTTTGCTGAAATAATTGGACAGTATCTACAGGATTGACTGTGCCCCCCAAAATATGTTGTATTGGGTGCTGTTTTGATAAGAAATGAGGTGCCTACCTCCTCCTAAATTATAATGTGGTGCTTTTCCTTACCTGTTGAAGTAGGTATCCCGTTATCTCTAAATTAGATTGGAGTTGGGGAGGAGACAGAAAAATACCTTTAATTGCTGGTCACTCCTAGTGTTCATTTTTCTCCTTCCCTGCCTCCATGGGCCCCCGGGGCCCTGTGAATCTGTCAGGTCTGGGTTCGGAGGGGACGGATGGGAGTGAGTGAGCACACAGAGCTGCAAGCACAGGATATTCCTGAAGGGCCAGCACAGCAGGGGAAGGGGAGTGAGGCAGGTGAAGGCAGTGGGCATGATGGCAAGAGTGAGGCAGGGAGCCAGACGTGCAGAGGACTTCCCAGCAGCTGGTATGTGTCGTGCCGTCGAGAAGATGGACCCTCGCATCATAGAAGTCATACAAGCCCTCGGCTTGCTCCTTTATTACTGCCTTCCCAAGCTTGTTGAAATTGGTGTGTTAGTCAAAGCACCTGCGACTCCTTGGCAAACTAGATGCTCTATTATTCTTAAATAAGGAAATAGTTAAATTGGAAATCACATCATTTCAAAGTCTGGTTTGCCTGGCCCCTGTACTTTAATGGGATTTTTACTGCACATATCAAGTGGCCTTGGCAAAAGAATACATCCTTTAAAAACATTTAGGGAAAGCTATTGCACATGAGGATCTGTGAGGCTAATGATGACTCTTTTGTATGCTTTCAGATTTTCAAATGACAAAACAGTATGTGCAGTAAAACCTCATTAAGTTGATAGTGTTTTATTCAAAATAGCACAAAATTTGAAGCAGTTGCTATCTCCAAGCTAACCAGAGGCCCTATTGTTCAGTAAGAAGAAAATGTCAGCAAAGCAGAATGCTCTTAATTCAAAGGTCCTCTTTTCCAGTCTCCTATTTTCAAAAAGTTTTCACCTTTGAAAAATCCAATTTGCCATAAGAATGGACAATGACTAAAATAGGGAAAAGAGGAACTTTAAAAAGGAAATCGGCGAGTCTTGGTGCCCTGGAGAATGTTGTGTGTGCTGTTAAATGAACTTACCACATTCGTACAGGTTCTGGTTCCATTTTGATTTGGGATTTTGGCAAACAATTTTCTCTGATACACTTTGAAGGGGTTGAGCTTTAAAATAAAACAAGAAGTTCAGTTTCAACAAAATATTTAGAGACACTTATATTTGAAATCCTGTTTCCTACCCTGGTAAGCATTTCTACTCAAAAGACAGGTTACAGCCACCTTGAACTCCTCCGAACATGACAGATCTTTAAGGCAATACCCCTCCCCCCATAAGAGGATTGGTCACACCGGCCATTTCTTCACCCAGATATCCTTTGAGGACAGGTTAATACAAGAGTTTGGCAATAAATTGGCATAATAAATTTATGACTATTCATTCACTTTATACATTTTGGTTGAAAAATAAATGATAGTGCAAGGGTAAACTTCAGCCCCCACATCTTGTCTGAATTACCACAAGTTCCAAATTAATGGGTTTGGAATTAATAAGATTTTCATGAACATATCCAGTTGACAGGTCAGCTCAATATTATTTGGACCTATCCCCTCTCCTTTCCCTAAATTCTAAACACGGCTATCCCAAATGCCCACACAGACTTATTCACAGCCCAAATACACTGCTGTTTACCTCTCCCCCTTGAGAAGCTCATGTTGGAATCTGTGAGATAAAGGAGGAAGAGATAAAGAAAATATAAATGAGCTGGGCACTTATACGAATGAAATTTGAGTTCTAATATAGACATGGTAATCACACAAGACTGAGGCTAACCTCTGAATATGGCCATCTTTATATACAACCACCTGATTAACCATTTTCAACCACATACTCCCTCCACCCATAGTAACATTTGATTTCTGCATGAACAGTTGACTGGCCATAAATTTGCTTTAATTTGGTATTCAGGAGGACCAAATACGCTATTTTAACCATTTTTTGGTTCCATGTTATTTGGTCATGTTGATGGGTCTGTGCCCTCAGAAATACACAGGTATATCCCTACCCAAAGTGATTTCAGCATTTGGGATTTGAAAACTCTGTTTCTGTATTGATCCTAGGGATAATTTAGATATTGCAAAGGTTTTCCCAAAGTGATATATTTCAACAGCAATAATTAGGATATGTCTGACCTGAACACTTTGATTTTAGGATTGTTTGGAATAGGTCGGATGCTTCCCCGATATTGAGAAACCATCCTCTCTGTTATTTCTGACTCTCATATTTCTCTCCCACATCTGCAGAGAGCTGAAAGGCTTTAGAGAGCCACAGGTGGAAAAGACACATGGGTGTGCCTGGAGGAAGAAAATGTCTATCCTGCCTTACTTGCTCCCCATGTGGAGATCATATTTCTTGTCTATGATCTCAAGACACAAGAGATTTCTGATGGGCACATCACTCTTGACTGATTGGCAGTATGAGTTTTGTAGGACTTTGGCCACTCCTAGTGGAATTTCTCTTTTCTGGAAATACTGTTTGGCCAAAAAGGTCTATTTGGAAAAAGAAACCACACACACACACAAGTGAGTGGCAGAGGAGACTTGGAGGATTCTTATGAGCATTCCAATTCAATCACAAAGGGAAAATTGTAAAATAGTGGCATGATTTCTGTCTATTATTCAAATAGAAGACAGAAAATAGTTTAGTGTCAATTGACAATTTTCCATTTGCATGGAATGACCTTGGTCCCAGCCCATGCACAAACCCAGGGTTTTATAGAAAAAAGTCAACTGTTTAGCCCCATGGATGTGTGTTATTTCTCTATCTTCTCCCTTGGACTAGCTTCCCATTTCAAACATGCCCTATTAAGCTCTTCTGCTTTTCTGGATCCCTTTAGAGGATCTAGACACCTTCTTGGCATTTTAACTGCACGATACCCTTTGTCTTAGTTTCCATCAACAGTCTTGACACCAGATTGTGGGGCTCTTCAGTCTAGAACTTGGCTCATACGTTGATCAGTCAGTCAGGTTCTGCGTCTTGAGCTCCATGAATGATTTGGTCGGCTGCTTTTCTTTCAGTTGAACATAGGCTGTAGCCCTTGCCCATGAGCTCTTAACCTGAGGGCCGAAAAGTCCTTAAATTCACAGGCATCATCTTCCTTTTCCCTCAGAGCAAAAGCTGACATGCTGTAGCTCTGGAGAGACAGACAGAATACCAAGTACAGATCCAAATGGATAGCCCTTGTTGCTTTAAGAAATTTGGAACCTAATAATTTTTTGGGGGGAAATTTCAGTCAGAATCCTCAAGTTGGTGCTTTGAGGGGCACAATTTTAAGGGAAGACTCCAGTTCCTATCTCTTCCATGTTTTTTCTACCTTGTGCTGAGAAGAATGTGTGCAACACCTTTGCCTGGAATGGTATGGGTTGGCATTAATGGGATTGTGGGTGGTCCATTTAAAAGAAAGCTGCTTCTGTTTTCTGTATTGTGGATAGTTCAAGGTTTGCCTTAACTTCAAGGCAAAGTGGCAGAATCGTGAGAAAGGACGGTCTTGCCTTCGGTCCCACCCTCTGTGCCGGCTTCGGTTCCGGGCAGGTCTGGGTGGCTGTCTTCTTTTGGGGGCTTTTCCTTGCAGAAGAACTTCTTCAGCATATCCTGGATTTCCTTCTTGATGGTCTTGTGCATATAGCCATAGATGTAGGGGTGGATGCAGCACTGCAGGAAGAAAAGCCAGATTATGATGGTGATCACCCACTGAGGCACCTTGGTTTGGACATCCACCCACACGGCCAGGACGGCTAGAAAGCAGTAGGGCCCCAGGGACAGCACGTAGGAGAAAATGATGAGGAAGATCACTTTAGCAGCTTTGCACTGGTAGCACCTGGGCAGAGGAGGGTCGCTGTTGCTGTTTCGGCGACTGGGTGGGAGACTCTCTGGGATGTTCACTGCCTCGATGTCATCCTCACTGAAGTGGAAGTGATCGTCACCAAACTCCAGGTCATCTTCACCCAAGTCAATGTTGCACTGGTTGACCTCTCTGCGGCTCTTGTCTGCCCTCATGCTTCTCTCCCTTTCGGTGCCGCCTTCCTTACTCTCTATGCTGCCTTCGCTGGCCACCAAGCTGCTTTCTCTGACCTCCTTGCTGCCCTTGGCCTCCACGCTCCCTTTCTTGGCCTTCATGCTGCCATCCTTGGCTTCCATGCCAGCCTCTTCTGCCTCGACGCTGCCCTCCTTGGCCTTGACCTCACCTTCATCCAGGCCATGGAACTCATCCTTCTTCTCTCCCTCTTCGTTCTCATTCTCCACACAGTCCTTGGCTCGAACCTCCAAGCTGTGGCTCTTGACGTGGTACAGCAGAGCATGCTGCCGCCGGGCTGCACCGAACACCACAGAGTAGCAGCCAATCATGACAAACAGTGGAATGATGATGAAGGACACTACGCTGAAAATGGTATAGCTGGGGCTGGACCCCCAGATCATAGAGCAAAGGGCATTGCGCTCATCAAAGGCAGCCTGGCCCCAGCCATAGAGAGGGGGTGTGCTCTGCAGGATGGCCACGATCCAGGTGCCATAGAGGAGCATGTAACCCCGGCGCGGGGTCATCTTGGCCGGGTAGGAGAGAGGGTGGATGATGGACAGGTAGCGATCCACTGACACTACGACAATGGTGTTGACACTGGCGAAGGCGAACAGGTGAGTGAGGCTAACCAGGGCGGTACAGAAATGGCTGTTGAGGGGCCAGAAGAGAGGCACGGAGGTGGCCACCACCCAGGGGGCCACGAGTGAAATCTGCAGCAGGTCAGTGACGAGGAGGTTAAAGATGAAGCGATTGGTCACCTGCAGCAGCTGCGGCTTGCGCTGCAACACGAGTGCCAGCACTATGTTGCCGACGAATGAGGCGGCGAGGAAGATGAGCAGCACGCTCGAGCGGATGATGCCGTGAGCCAGGCTGATGGGCATTTTGGAGAGGGGCACGCACGTGTGGCTGCTGTTGCTTTCGCGCGTGCTGTTGGTGCAGGTGGTCGTCATGGCGATGGCAGGCGGGCGTGAGACAGGGTGCAGGCTCTGAGCCGGCACCAGCGGGCGGCGACGAGGCGCACGGACCACACTCACTACCTATGCTGGGGACGAAAGAAACACGAGGGCCGGGTTACTCACCCTGCCGGGGGTGGGGGGAGCGGCGTTTCCACGCCGGGCAGGGGCACTGCAGGACCCTCTCTCGGCACCGCCCCCCGCCCCGCGCAGCCCCAGTCCGCGTCCGGGCAGTTCTCTGACTCCTTCTGTTACTCTCTGGGTCTCTCTGCCTCTCTCGGGGTCTCTGAGTCCCTCACATCTGTCTCTCCCTCTGGCGCGTGCGCTCTTTACGTGTCTCCCACACTGTCTCTGGGTCTCGGAGTTTTGGTCTCTCCCACTAGCGCATGCGCGCGCGCTCTGTTCCTGCCTGTTTACGTTTGCCAATTTGTCTCTTTCTCTCCGGTGTCACTCACTAGCGCACTTTTTCTGTATCTCTTGGGGTGTGTGTATGTGTCTCGCCGTTTTTCTCTCAGTCTCTCACCCCTGTCTCTCACTCTGTCGTCTGTCTCTATTTCTCAGTCTAGCTAGCACGTGCACGCTGTCTGTCGGTCTCTGTCAGACAGTCTGTCGTTCTCCTCTTTATTACTCCCGTCTCCCCCTCCCCCTCTCGGTCAGTTTCTCTGTCTCTCAGTCTCTCTCTGTGTCTCTTTCGCTAGCGCACTTTCACTGTAGCTGTGTGTGCGTGTCTCTGTCTCTCTTTGCCTTTCTCCTGGTCTTGTCCCTGTCTCTCCCTCTGTCTCTTTCTGATGCACTCTTGTCTCTCTCTGTGGCTCTGCCTGTTACTTGTCGCTCACTAGTGCGTGCGCTTTTCCGTCTTTCCCTGATGCTGCCTCGTCTCTCCATCTCTCTCAGTCTATTTCCCTGACAGTCTCTATGGGTCCCTAGTGCACCTGTTCAGTAGCACTCCTGCATGTGTGTCTCTGCCAGTCTCCGTGTCTCTCTAACTCTCCTGTTTCCATGTCTCCCTCGACTTCTCTCTCTACACGTCTCTTTCTGTCTCTTGTTGCACTTGCTCCTTCTCGGATCCTCTCATCTCTGTGTCTCTCCCTGTCTCCTCCTGCAGTTTCTGTCTCTCCGTGCGTAGTTTTCTCTTTATCGCTGTCTGCCTGTCTCTCTCCGTTGGTCTCTGAAGATCTACTGCCTGTCTCTCCTGATTGTCTCTGGCTCTCCGTTGCTCAGGCTCTCTCTCTAGCGCGTGCACTTAGTGAGTCGGATTCTCTCCCTCTCGGTCGGTTTCTCTATCTCTCCCTCCCCGGACTCTTGCTAAATACTTTTTTCGTATGTTTCAGTGTGTGTGCATCTCTGTCTCTCTCCATTTTTCTCTGATGATTCCTCACCTCGGTTTTTCTCTGGTTGGATCTCTGTCTCCGATCTTTATCTCTCTGTCGACTTTATTTTGCCATGGAAACCAGCTGCCGCCTTGGCCACGTTGGGCTCTGGCAGATACATCTCCTAGTTTCTCAGCAGCACAGCCGCGGCTGCATGCAGGAAGGATGTCTACTGCGACCCCCGGCCCCCCCTCACCCCGCTCAGTTCGGCATCCTCCATGCATTCTCCAGCCCACTCGGTATCGGCGGCGGCGGGTGTAGGGATGGGTGAGCTCCGGGAGAGCGGGAGAGGAGGCAGGGGTGCCAGGGTTGTGGGGAGAGTCTGAGAGAGACAGAGGAAGAGAGACTGAGAGGCAAGAAAGAGAACGAGAGAACAAATGAGACAGAGACAGAATGAGAGAGCCACAACTGAGAGACAGACAGAAAATGACAGAGAGGAAGAGACATAGGGACAACGAATGAGCAAATGAGAGACAAAGTGAGAGAATGAGAGAGACAGAGAATGAGAGGGAAAAAGACTAAGAGACAGGGAGAGATGGAGATAGAAAAATCGAAAAAGAATAAGAAAAGAGGATGAGAAGCAGAGGAGAGAAAGGACAAGGAAACAAGGAGAGAATTGAGGGCGGGGGGAAGGACGCGCGCGAGAAAGTGCGAGGGGAAACGCGAGCGCGAGAGGGTGGCCGAGGGAAGGCGAGAAGGGGCCACATGCAGGCCTGTGGCGGGGCAGCGCAGCTGCCGTCGGGCCGCGGCGGACGGGGCGTCCCTGGCGCCCGAGCGCGGGCCCAGTCGGGCGCAGAGCCGGG